ACGACAATCTGGGATTTTTGTTGACATGACATGATTAATTAATCTTGATGGTCTAAATGAAATTAAGATTTCTCAATGTAAAGAACATGATTAGGCAGATCATGCGTGAGTGCAGATTATTAATTAACTGGGCATTCATACGACAAATGCTGAGATGAAACAAAGTTTTTTCATATTATCACCTATCTCATTTTCGCAATTAAAAAAACAAAAGCTAGCTAGTTCATCTAATGGGAATTTTTCTACCAATTTCATGTGTGCCACATATATGTATATAAATATATATATATATATATATAAAGAGATCCATTTATATTAGTGCAAGAGTTATACATATTTTTTATAATTGGATCAAAATTAAATCTATGACACTTACACTTACACTATAGGGAACAAGTTTTTAACGAAATTTTTTTTCGTGTTTATTAACGATTTAGAAACGTCATTAAATGATTTGTAGTGATTTTAAAAAATGCCATTAAAAACGATGGTCATACCTGTAGTAGAAAATATAATGACATTTCAAGAAAAAAATACTATTAACTTAATTACATTTGTACACAAAAATACTATTAAATTTAACAGTGTTTGTGTGTAAAAATACTGCTAGAATATAAAAATTAGCAATGTTAGCAATAAAAAAAACCAGTAATTTCTATAATTTAGCAATATTTTTGCACACAAATATCGTTAAATTAAAAAAAATCTATTTTTTTATTTATTTCAATATTTATTATTATAATTAAATAAAAAATATTTAAAAAATAAAAAAAATTTAAATTCATAAATTGAATATTATAAATATTTAAATATCTAAATATATAATTTATTCCAATATACAAATAACACAAATTTAATACAATAATATTGAAATTGTTTCAATACATTAACCACAAGAGAAGACACATATTGGCTGCCTTGGCACGTTCAAGCAAACAAGAAAAATTCATTTCACCGGGTTCAAAGGTTTGTAGTTTCTTCGCCAACATGAATATGTTCCCTGTAATGCCCTACCTAATACCATCAAAAGGTTCACTTTATTTGAAAATATACAAAAGCACTCGATACTATAATCAATTCCGTATTTGGGAGTAAATAAATAAAAATAAATAAATACAAAGCATTTGAGCTAAAATTAGCTCGAGTAATTAGGGCCAATATTTTTCCAAGAATGACAGAAAAAATTACATTGGACCTTAAATTTCTGCAAAAAGAAGTGCATGTCATCTAGTGATCACCAAATTAAAAAGCTAAGTAGAAATTAAAGCAGAAAATTATTGTTTTTAATTTTTTACAACTTTTTTTTTTAAAATTTTGAAGTAATATTACAATGCACTTAACAATTAAACCAAATGCACAATTACCTTAGGCAATGAATTAATTAAAAACCTAGTTCTTCTACTGAGTTTGAACCTTATTGTCAACCGTCAACCACTCCTAAGATTACAAGAACACAAGCAAGAGCTAAAAATAATTATTCAGAAAAAAAAAAGAAAAGAAAATGGTAGTCATACATAATTAAGAATTTAACAATTAAAAAGAAATTACATAAGGAAATTGAGTAGATACTTCCTAATTTTAAATTACTAAAATTTTATTTGACAATATGATTTTTGTCTCATTGTGAAATTTGATCATAAATGCAAAGGCAATACAAGAAAAAGATTACAATAAAATATCCTAACTATGCGACAATGCTGTTTTTCTAATCGCAAAAACGGATAAGAACCTAGTTTCGCAATTATGGTCATGGCATGGGCAATATGGCATTACAGAAATGAAGCTGTTATTAATAGCATCTACAGGACGTATCAAAGTACAGTGGCTTTCACCCAAGAATATGTACTTCAATATTCGAGAGGCTTAGGATAAACAGTTGGGTAGAGGAGATCCCAGATGATATTTATGTATTTTTCTTTAAAAAAAAAGCAACTATTTTTAAATTCAAATCATATTTTAAATTCTCTTAAATATATATATATATTTATCTTTCTAACTTTAAGTAATTTTTTTTTAATAATTGATTTCAATTGACTCGTGATACAATTAAGACAAAACTTTATAAATGGTATAGATATTTTCTTTTATTATATATATATACAATCATATAATCAACATATTTATATATTATGAGCTCAAGGCTTATTAGTATGATTAGTTCACTCATCTTCTTTAGAAAGTAGAATCTCCCAAGACTAGGATTCGATTACTAACAATTATAAGTTCTCTTTCCAGATTTCCTCTTTAACTCTTAGAGTATCTTTAAATGAAGAATTTTGAAATGTTTCAATTCATAATAACTGCAGTTGTAATTGCATTATTTGGATAATTTTTTTAATTAAATATTGGAATTAAATAAAAAAAATTGTAATAAAAATAATGATATTAGATATAAAAAGTATAATATTAAAAATACAATATAAGTGTCCTTAGATTTATAAAATTGTATAGATATTACTAAAAATATAAAAAATAAAAAAAATTATAATGAACTTTTGTCGTTAAAATTGAAGAACATAAATCTTATGAACAGTGGTTCGATACTAACTTGATCACTTAATTATTATTTTTAAACATGCCATTATAACATTAATATATAGTTAGGATAAGATTGAAATTTATATTTTTAATAAAAATTACCAATCATATCTAAATGTGTACAATTTAGGACAATTTTTTTTTTTTTTATTAAAAAATGATCAAAAACAATAATATCAACAAGTAAGGTCTACATTGGACCTCACTTATACTAGACCTTTATATTAGACCTTACTTATATTAAACCTATCTCAAATATACTAATAGTTGAGTTTTTTAATTTCACAAGTAGGATTAAAACAATTATACACATCATTTATATATTTTTAAAAAATAATTTTAAAAAAAATAAAATGAGACATGTATCATCATCTTAATGTCATTTATGGAGTTAAAAATTTTTTCATTTAAAAAATAAGATAAAAGATTACTTCTTTTTTTTTTAATCAAAGCTTAAGATAAAAAATAAAATAAAATTTTAAAAATAAAAATGTCTAAATTTCCTAATACAAAAATCAATTGAATAAACTCCTAAAATCCTGTGAAAATTCTTATTTTTTGAAAATTTGTCCTTTGCTTCTTTTCTTTTTTTTTTTTTTCTCTTGAACCCTACCCACACAACTAACTCCATCATGAAGCTGTGCCAACAGAAGTTCTATTTCTCCTAGACTTCCAACATCTTTCAAGAATAACTGTAAGTCAATCTCCTTCCATATTCCATATAGTGATGATAGGACTTTTCAAAATATGTGTTTAAGAAGTTTGACACAAACAATATCCCTCCATTTTAGGAAGAATTCGGTAGCCGCTAAAAATCTATCATATCCTGGAAATTTGATGCTAGTTCAACGATGAACTTTTTATGTTTCTTGATTCAAAAATGAATCTTTAATTGTTCCAAAACGATTATTTTGATCAAGTTTTTGGAAAAGACTCATTTGTCCAAAGCAGAATCTTATAAAGGAAGTAGAAAGTTCCAATATTTATTAGTTGAAAACACTTTCTAGATTCAAGTTGGAGACCTTGTGTTGGATAGCAATAGTCAATTTTGATCATAAAAGATAAAAGATGCAATAAAAGATGGCAAATAAAAATCAACTACATTGAAAAGTTACACTTGCTAATGATGTACATGAATCGGGTTAGATCCAATTATGGTTTTGTTTATTTTATAGAAAATTACTTCGAAAAAATAATTTTGAAAAAATATTTACATTTTTTGAATTGAAAAAGATTTTCTTTATTTGAATGCGTTAATGAAAAATATTTTTCTTGATTTGATTGTTTTCTAAAAATTTTATTTTTTTAAAAAAATAATATTAAATAACTATTAAAATAATAAAATTTATTTATTATTAAAATATATTGAAATTGTTTATTATTAAAATTATTAATATTAAAAAATAATTATATTTTAATGATATTATTTAGTATTAAAATATTATGTTAATATAAAATATTTAAAATAAAACTATTTATTATACTTTATATTATTTATTAATATATTAATATATTATTACAATATTTTATTAATTAAAATAATAATATTATGATATTATTTATTAATTATTACAATATTATTTCTTAAATTATTATTTAATATATTTGATTAATAGTATATTATTTATTAGATAATATTATTTTTTGTTTAATATATTATAATTTTTATTTATTAAACAATTATTATTTATAAAGTAAAATTATAATTAAAAATATTAATAAATAATTCTACTCATAATCAATTTTTTTTCTAAAAAATATTATCTCTTTTTTAAATCCGTAAGATAATTTTTAAAAAAATGATCTTATTTTTCATTGATCAATAAGTTATTTTCTATTGAATAACCAATTTTCAACTAAACAAACACCAAAAAATATGAAAATCATTTTCTGAAAAGTCATTTTCCGATGAAACAAATGACCCTAACTCTTATTACCACTTAAAATTTTTCATAAGATCTCATTTGAAATAGTTAAGTTTGTTGATTGGTGAAAATAATATTAAAATAATATTTTTTTAATATTAATGTTTTAATATTTTTAAATAAATTTATTTTAAAAATAATATTTATTAATAAAATAATATTTTGTACTAGTCAAGCTCAAACTATAATATTAACCATTATATTATATCAAAGATGCCTTCCTTTGATCAAATTGGCTCTTTTCTTTGCACTCCAGGTAGCATTGACCTCTGTAATTGCCATGAAATCCATCTATAAACCACTGATGTTACCATCTTAAAACAATATCAAGAAACTCCAATGGCCTTCATCTATATGATCATTAGAAAACCAAAGACTGAAAATTGAATGCCATGTAAGAAAAAAGAAAATGACAGAAGAAAATCCATCGGATGCTTCTCAATACAAAGTAAGGTTGCAATACAATATATAATAATACTGAAAGGTTGAACATTAAATAAAAAGCATAACTAAAATGTATGCATGAGGAAATGAAAACTAATGGTTGAATGTAGTTCCTCCATGCAGAGAAACTAGGCTCTCTGCATACATTGCTAGCTCTAATGCACACCCTTCAAATTGGAGTGTCTTTATCTCTTGGTTATTTGGATGATGCCAGGCCAGAAAGTCGCCTTCTTCATTCTCAAAGAAGATTTCACCATTGCTACCGACTCCTAATGGTAGATGCACATAAGGAATAGGTTCAATGGTGAATAATTTTGTCCAAGAGTTCTTTAGACCTAGTTCACCCAACACCTATACATCATAGCATCTATTTCTCACACGATAATCATGACAAAGAAACCCACCAGGTGATCCGTTGATTTCCATTAAATAGGTAAGATAGTATGTTGTTCTACAGCTCTTTCCCAAACCCCCATCAGGAAATGGTGTTGCAACGAAAACTTCATTACTCATGTCAAATGAAAGGAGCAAATCTTCATTATCAACAACTGCCCAACAGTGATAAAATCCGTTGGAGTAGACTTGATTGTTCGTAGAAACATAGAAGAAATCAACATTCAAGTTGTCATTGAACTTTCTCCAAGAATCAGTAGTCAAGTTGTACAAAGCAACTCGCTTACCTCGGGGAGCGCTGAGGTCGTTATATTTGAAATCACCGTCCCAAAATGTGTCAAACCTAATTACTTTATACTCATCTCTCTTGGAATCATAACCCAGACCAGCTACTTCAATACAATTTTTATAGCTTGGCGGATACTCAAAAGGACACATGGGGAGAATTTTAAATTCCTTAGTCCCAATGTTCCACAAAAGAACACCACCAACACTGTTCCAAAGACAAATTATGCCATTGCAATAACCTCGGATATCTATACTTATTGGGTTATCGGTAAAGGAAGGAATATCAAGATTTGGCAACAAGATCAAGAGTTTGATTGGAAATAAAAGAGACCATGGTCTTTCTCTCTATATAATTCTCATATTTGATGAGGAGACAGGCCCTGTTTTTACTAAAAAGAATAGTGGGCAGTAATAAATTGAGGGCTTTGAATCAAGGAACACCAAGACTTACCAACACACCTAAATCGCTTTAGAGATTTGACAGGTAATCTTGCCAGAATATCCACCACAACATCTTCAGGCAGCGAATGGGTGATTGCTGCTGCAGCCATGGATAATCTTCCTTCACGTGTTCCCCTGTGCGTATGTAAACGAGAGATTGAGTATACGTACGCCACCTGGATCCAAGTAAAAAATTCCAAGAATACTCACCGCCGATTAAACTGCCAAAACCCAACAAAAATCTCTATCTCTTACACTTCTCCTTTACTGCCTTTTTAATTTTGATAGTGTATTTCACGTGTTCTGGGGAAATTTTGTGTTTTCGGTATTTTTGTCCCGCTTTTCGAAATAAATACGTTTTTTTTTTCTTTTTAATTCTAGATAGAATTTGACGAAGGTTCTGGGTATTAGGCTATTTAGGTGGGTGTGGTGGTTTCGGTGAGCAAGGGGTTGAAGGTGGTTTGGGCTTGGTGTTCCAGGGGCTAGGATGTTGGCTCTGGTACTTGGGCGTTGGGCATTGGTATTGAGCTATCTGTGTAAAGGAGATGGGCTTTGCACTGGGCAAGGATTTCGACGCTGGTGGTGATTGTGGTCGTGCTTGGGGGTGTGCCAGTGGATGAGAAGGCTGGCAGTTGATGACGGTGGGTGTCTGTGTTGAGAAGGCCCGTGTGAGCTCTCTGTGTGCTTCGGGTGGTGACAACGGCCTGTCTGAAGCATTGGTAGGTAAGGTGAGAGTTGTGTTAAAAAAAATCCATAAAAAAAGTTATGGACAAAAGCGTAATTCGTGAGTGTGAACCCAAAGTTCCTTTATCAAAACCCTTTTATTAATGTCTCATGTTATGGATTAAGTTTAGTGGACGTTCGAGGTCTAAAAGTAAAATAGAAAGACAATCACTCTAATTCAATCTTGATTATTGTTTGCTTGTTACAAATAAATAGAATGGAAAATAAATCCTACTTTTCTTACTGTGTTTTAAAAATTCATCGCACCAAGCGAAAAACATGTCTTAAATATATTGATTCTCTTAATCAAAATTACTAAATGTTGTGATACAAAAGTTAGCTACGAAATTAAGGTTTTACCAGGAAACTTAGCAATTTAGATAAACTCAACAAAACAAAAAGCATTGACCTCTATAATAGCCATGAAATCCATCTAAAAAATTATAAAAATTATCATCTTCATGCAATATTAAGTAACTCCATCAATGGCCTATATCTATATATTCATTAGCAAACCAAAAGTTCATTTCACCAAACAAACTAGCACTACAGGGGTTTTGGTTTTTAGCGGTATTTTTTTTACCATTTAACGGCGTTTATTAACACCATTATAAGGTCGCGGCGTTTGCGAAAAAATGTCACGCAGAGTGTCACCTATTCACGTGTCGCAATAAATAATGACGTTTTTGAAAAAAATACCTCAATATTAGCGACGTTTGTATTTGAAACGCTGTCATTTTAGCGGCGTTTATATCTTTTAGACGCTGTTACTTTAGAGGCATTTGAATTTGAAAACTTGTCAATATTAGCGGCGCTGTTATAAGAAAACACCGTTGAATTGACGGCGTTTGTAATAGAAAATACCGTTACTTTAGAGGCGTTTGAATCTGAAAACGCCTCAATATTTGCAGTGTTTGTATGTTTTAGGTGCCGCTAATTCAGTGACATTTTTATGAGAAAAACACCGTTGCTTTAGTGGCGTTTCTATAAAAAAGCCATCAAAGTAGCGGCGTTTGCTAGAAAAAGCACCGTAACTTATAGTTGCATTTTTTGCTACAAACGTCATTAAATTATTCATTTAGCGGCAATGCCTAACGTAAATGCAGCCATTATGTAAAAATCTATTTTTTTCTTATAATAAATTTTATTTTCAGTAAAGAGCTAAATTTTAGAAACTGAAATTAATATAACTTCATCCATATTTAAATATACATCTAATTAATACAAAGTTTAATAATTAGTATAATAGCATTCAAATATTATAAATACATTAACCAAATAACATATTAAAATATATGAAATGGACGACTACATACATTTTGCTGGCTGCCAATTGATGAAGAAAATTTTCTACCTTGGTCACTAGCGTGCTCAACAACCTACTAAATAATACCATACAATTTTTAACACTTCATTGTACGCTTATTTTTTGTTTAAAAATTTTAATATTTATTAAATATAATACATGAGTTGACGGAGACCAAGATCATTTCTTGGAAATTGTTGTTGCACAAATTTGTAAGATGATTGAATCGATCATGCAACTGCTGAAATTTTGCACGCTCTAGCTCCATTCTAGCATGTTTTTCTTCAATTTTGGCACGCTCCTGTTCTCTTTCTGCTTTCATTTGTTGAAAACGTTGTTGCATAGTTTGCAACTCCCCTCTCAATAGTGAAATGTCTCGCAAAGACTAACTTGCTGAGAGTGTAAATTGCAGAGAGTTATGTCCTTAGTAGGCAGATGGTGTTGGACCCAATCCAAGGCCTCGGACTCATCCATGCCTTTCTTTTCCAACAACTTCGATGAATATCCGATTTTTCATTTCTTGCATGTTGAGAGAACCTTCAGCTGCTATTTCAATCTCAGCTGCCATTTTATCTTTCGCTTTTTCTTGTGAATTTGTTATAAACAACTATCAAGTTTAATGATTAATTGATTATATGTTAAAAAGAGTTAATATTTACTTTATGTTAAAATAGATGATACAAATTACCACAATTTATTGCATTTTGACATTCATGTAAGATTCATCTTTTTTGTGTGTGTTACACGAAAAGTTTCGCACGTTCAATTGTATGGCCCATCTCATTCTCCTATAGAAAAACATATGTTATTTGATAGGATACATAATAACCACAACTTATTTATGCATATCAATCCTGTCAATCAAGTATTACAATTTCAAAAAACTTTAATATTCTTTATTTATATTTTAGCCCTGTAACAACACAATAGTCTTAAATATACGCAATGAATAAAATCATTTTAAGCTTTCACACACTTTGATCATAGAAACCAAATTCAATTAGTTTCTCCCAGTTTAATATAAAGGATTGAAGCCATTCAATATGTTGAAAGCCATCCAAAATTTATTTGGATATTTGCCTTTCATATGCAAAAATATTCCTTAACAGACATAATTGACAACTTTTTCTCCCATATCAACCATAGAAACCAAGTTCAATCAATTGGACAAGCTTAATATCAAGTCTTGAAGCTATCGAAACTGTTAAAATATAACAATAACAACAACCAGATAATAAAGGTGTAAATATGCATAAACAGTAACTTTTCATACATATCATCTATGTAACTAAGTTCAAAACTTTCGATAAGTTTAGATCATTTATTAAAACAATAAAATCTATTAAAACAATAAAATCTATTAAAACAGAACAATAAATGTTAATTTTCAGATTTAACTTTTAACGACAGAAAAAGTGCTTTCATTGGAATAAGTTAAGTATCATAAACTTATGATTTCTTTTTTCTTTCTTGCAAAACTTTTTGATCTACTTGTGTGGCTATATTTCTGTTGCTTTCTGCTACCAATCCCAATCTGTTCTCTTTCCTGTCAAAAAAAATAATTGCTTATATGATATAAATACAAATATTACCAACTGAAACCATCAAACATTTTCATCATTTCATTCTATTATATGAAGTTATAAACTAGTACCTCTCCTTTTCTTAAGAACCAAAATCTAACCAGTTGTTCATATTGCCACCTAATCACATTACGGGATAGATTTTACATCATCACCTTTACAGTAGTATTTCGATCGAAATACTTATTCTTCAAACTATGTTTATAATCTTTCCATTTCTTTTCTAATGACTTAAACACAAATGAAGTGGTATTTCAAGTACAAATCTTGCATGTAATAATACAATAAGAAATGTTTGAATAAGTAAACAAAGTGTTAAATAAAAAATTTGAATATATCTAATTAATTATACTAATACCTCACTAAAGTTTAATACATCGGCCTTAACTTCTTCTGGTACATTATGCCATGTTTCATAATGAATAGGCAATTTCATTCCATTATGGGCTAGCATACCTAGAAATCCAGCCAACAATTAAGCCCTTCACCAATTGGTTGCCTATCAGAGTTTGCAAATACTATAATATGCATGTTAGGAGTGAGTGCAAACAGTTCCTTCAAAGTTGTCCGGCCTCTAGTCCTCCATTGACCATTGTTATCAACTACAACAACTATAAAATTTATTTGTAAAATCATAATACTTAGATCATTATACACGAATTTTAAAACTGGAGTATATCATACCTACATTCAAATTTAAAGCATAATCAATTGATTGGGGTACTATCTAAACCTAGACCTCCCGTATTACCAGATCCAATATCAGTTGAAGGGTTAGAAGTGACGGAGTTAGATCAGACAGTACGTTCATTTGCCTCCAAAGAATGTAGTCCATAGCCAACTTCTACAGGTGCCGTAGATAGTTCAGAAGTAATAACTCTGATATGTTTTCATTTCAACCTACTTCTCTGCATTATAGCTTACCTAGATCATAAAAGTGAATATATAAAAAATGTTAGTTCAGAAGATATATAAAGACAATAATTATACAATAGTTAATGTGACATTATTTACATACTATTATTTACCACATTATGTCTTAAACACTCGAATTACAAATTATAGGTGCAGGGAATCATGGTTCGTAAATGTCTTGAGTAACATTTTCGCGGACCCACTGAGCGTAGGTACTGGAGATATTCTCATCCAAGTTTTGTTCAGCAAAAGGATAACATTCAGTTCCATGATCAACATCATCTTTGGTATCTAACCCCATATCAAATAAGTCTCTAAGTGTGTTTTCGAAAAACAACAAACCAACCTAATTCTTTCAGATCTTCAGAGTAAAATACTTGTTTTACTTGAGATGAAAATACATAAGGTTCATCGATGAGTTGTTGTCCAGGATGAATTAATCGAGAAAAATTCATAAGTGTAAATTCGTACTGATCTTTCTTAAGACCCCTCGCACTATTCACATAAGCCCAATCACACTGAAATAAGATAACTTTCCACTTCCCATAATAATTCAACTCAATGATGTCATTAATCATGCCAT